GACATCACCAACGCAACCGTCAATGGGCTGGAGATATTGAAGATCAGCAACGATGTCAAAAGCTTGGATGGGGTTTCCTCAGTTGAGAGTCTCACTCCACAATCCCATTCCAAGAGCCATAAGGTAGGAATCATAATCGGTTCCACAGCTGGAGCAATAGCTGCATTCGCCATACTCGGTCTCTGCTTCATCTGCATGAGAGCTGGCAAGAAGGACCCTAATCAGCAACAGGGGGGACATTCGTGGCTGCCTTTGCCCTTATACGGCATCTCCCAGACCATTACAAAAATGTCAACAACTTCACAAAAGAGTGCTTCAGCTAGCTGCATCTCACTGGCTTCCACAAACCTCGGCCGATTCTTCCCCTTCCAGGAAATCTTGGATTCGACCAACAAGTTCGACGAAACCCTCCTTCTCGGAGTTGGCGGGTTCGGCAGAGTCTACAAAGGAACCTTGGAAGATGGCACTAACGTGGCAGTCAAGAGAGGCAACCCAAGATCAGAACAAGGTCTCGCAGAATTCAGAACCGAGATCGAAATGCTATCCAAGCTCAGACATCGACACTTGGTCTCTCTCATTGGCTACTGCGACGAACGTTCGGAGATGATCCTCGTCTACGAGTACATGGCCAACGGACCGCTGAGGAGCCATTTGTACGGTACAAACTTGCCATCCTTGTCTTGGAAGCAACGCCTAGAAATCTGCATTGGAGCTGCCAGAGGGCTACACTATCTCCACACCGGCGCAACTCAGAGCATCATCCACAGGGACGTCAAGACGACCAACATCCTCCTCGACGAGAGCTTCGTGGCCAAAGTCGCCGACTTTGGCCTCTCCAAAACCGGACCCTCCCTCGACCAAACCCACGTCAGCACAGCTGTGAAGGGCAGCTTCGGCTACCTCGATCCCGAGTACTTCAGAAGACAGCAGCTGACTGAAAAATCAGACGTCTACTCCTTTGGTGTGGTCCTAATGGAAGTCCTCTGCACTCGGCCTGCTCTAAATCCAGTTCTCCCGAGGGATCAAGTGAACATAGCCGAGTGGGCGATGACATGGCAGAAGAAGGGAATGCTGGACCAGATCATGGACCAGAACCTGGTCGGGAAAGTAAACCCCGCCTCGCTGAAGAAGTTCGGCGAGACGGCAGAGAAGTGTCTGGCCGAGTACGGCGTTGAGAGGCCGTCCATGGGGGACGTGCTGTGGAACCTTGAGTACGCATTGCAGCTGGAGGAGACTTCCTCCGCGGCGGCGCTGAATGAGGCGGAAGATAACAGCACGAATCATATACCGGGGATCCCATTGACGCCGCTGGAACAGTTTGACAACAGCGTGAGCATGATGGTCGACGGAGGCGGGCATTCGGGGACGGACGACGACGGTGAAGATGCCACGACAAGTGCTGTGTTCTCGCAGCTGGTTAACCCGCGCGGGAGATGAGTATACTTTGAAACACAGTGATTAGTGGGAGATTTGCTGTATTATTAATGTATTTGCTTCTGTTACTTCTTCTTACTACATGAGGGATTTGGAGGGGTATAGATGAGGGCGGTGTTGGTGGTAGTGGATGGTTAATTGTTCCATCGCTATCTGCTGGAAGAAAGTGTATCATAGAGCATGATTTTGTGATTGTCGCTTACCAGACCAAAGGTTGGGTGTTTCAGCCCCCATGTTACTTTTGTCTGAAGACATTAGTGCCAGAGTGCAAATAAGACAACCATTCATACTTTGTCATGGCCTTGGATTCGAGTTTTGCCAATGTTTGATCAAGGGGACATCAGTCGCTGGATAAGGATTTGGTTTGTCATGAAGGCTCAAGATAGGGTGCATAACCCATGGTTATGCACCCATCAATAACCAAATCTGGACCCTTCATTTAGAAAATCCAGATCTAAGGGTGAAGAATTAAAGGCTATTTTTATTTTCACTAGTTTTCTTAATTGACTCATATCTTTTTCGTTTTAACTCGGATTTTAATATTTTTTGCACAGATGGAACGAGTTCATCGTGCTCTACAAAATGAGATCAATTTTCAATATTTTTTGAGGAAAAAAAAATTCTGGTCTCTCGGTACCAACTGCATACCATATGGTATTTTCTTCGTTTTTCATTCGTTTTTGAAAACGTTTGCACAGCAGGGACGAGTTCATCATGATCTATTGGATCTACAAATTTCTGGGTGAACAAATTACGAGACCAAAAAATACCACACAATACCATACAATACCACCCTGGTACGGGGTGGTATTTTATGGTATTTTATGGTATACAATGTTAAAAGTCGTAAATGACAATTAATATACTTCTACTATCATGTATTCAATCATCCTACAGTCTTGGTTTGTTCATACCACCATGGTACGCTTTTGAACCCATAGGTATGCTCTTATTTCAATACCAGTCAATATCATATGGTATAGACTGGTAAAAAATGGCTCAATTTTTTTTTTGTTCGAAAAATATATAAAAGTGGATATCATTTTGAAGAGCACAATTAATCTGATCTAACTGTGCAAAAAAAATTAAATTTCGACTTAAAACGAGTGAGAAATCGTCCGTCAAAGATTAAGGAGGGGAAAATTAAAGGCTTTCCAGGAGAGAGAGGATGCTGATGTCATGCTAATGTGGGCGGGTTACTCATAGTTACTCACCATAAAGTTACTGACCTGATCCATTCCCTGTCATGAAAGTATTATGCAGGAAACCTCTGCTTAATTGATTGTGTTTCAGACTTTCAGGCTCTCCAATCAAAGACATATTGATGGAAGTGTTTGTTTTTGTTGTTCAGTGGACAATTCTGGTAAGTATGAGAAGTGTAATGCTAATTGCTATGATATGCAGTTAAAGCTTAAAAGCATCATATAACCGACTAAAAAATTATTTCAAACACAAGATCACATTTCTTGTTAGAGCTAGATATATCACTTGTTGATATACGTTGAAAACAAAATATTGTCATCGAGTGAAAGTTATTGGGTCTCGGTGGCACTTTTTTTTTTTTTTTTTACTGTGTTGGGTCGTTATGTAATCTTTCTTTTTATAGGTTGGATTAGGTTAGACTTTCCAAAAAAGGTGTTATATATACCTTCTCAAACTTTGTAGTCTGTGTCTATTCAAGTATAGTGAAACTCGTCTCTCATTCTTGTGAATTAGCGAACACACATCATGTTAGTAAACTACATAGATTCATGTGTTATTTACTTTCTCGCATGATCGATTTCCCAACCCGTTACAGCATCTTCTGGTTTGGTGGATACCCTTTTCCCTATATTCAAAAATGCCAACTCAAAAGTCTCTAGAGGCGCTGGCATGTGGTAGGTGGATTGGATTCCCCTCTCCTAAACTCTCGCCAAATTGGGAGGAAAACAGATTCAGCAAAAAGTCAGATTAATCCTTCTTATTATTCATAATTCATTCACTAATAAAATTAAGGAATAATCATGTCAATTCCATCACAATTCTTCCACTAATTATATGACTTTCTCATACAGTTCAGTTGGTTGTTGTCAACTCTCAAGTAACCTTCACATCAACAAGGAGGCCCTTTTCTTGAATACTGGAAAGGAAAAGATCATGCTCAGCCTCAACTCTGGTGTCAGATGTTAAACAAAGAACACTATGTCTTCACTGTAGAATTGCTTAGTAGAGTTGACAAGTGATTATCTTATAGGAGAAAAAGGCAGCACTTTTTTGTGCAGCTATTTGCAGACCAGCATCTTTTAGGTAACATGCATCATCTTCCACCATTCAATGGGTCTGAAAAAAGGCTTCTTCCATCCGCATCCATGATTGGTGTCCATTTCAGTATAGCCTAGCCTTCATGTTGATGACAAGACCACATCTTTGAAGAATCTCTTTGGAAATGATCTTTGCAATGACATCAATTTTAGTTTGCTCTTGATTATCGATTTTCGCAGATGATGTACTTGACCTTAAAATGTTGAATCGTAAGCATGATGTGTAGAGAAATTAGTACACAAATAAATAGCTATGGATTCCACAAAGTATTATACACTTATGCATTTTTAATGAGAGAGACGAGAGAGTACCACAACTCAGAACGAGTGATCATTCAAGTGTGGCTCACCACTTCTACCAAATGGTCAACAACAATTTGGTTCTGCAATATGAGCTTCCATGACTCAACGCTCTGAACAAAAGTGAAATTGTAGCTTGGCTTACATTGTTTTACCAGTAAGGTTTACTATCATATTTGCATTAACGAAGGCATCCATAATGGACTCGGATATGAAAAGTCAAACATAATTTCGAAGTATTTTTAAGTTATGAACAACCAGGGAAGAATTAAATAGTGATAATATTATTTGGGAATACGGTTTAGGCCATGATTGTTCTTTAACTTATGGATCGTATGTCTTTTTTTTTTTTGTTAACTTCAAAACCTCGTGATTAAAGATACAACTTTTAAGGCGTAGCTGATACTAGTCTATAATATTTAGAGCAAGTAATAGTCCGAGTATAACTGAATGAGGCACATCATTGTCATTGGAAAAACATGCATCTTATCAAATTTCAACCTTATCTCCCAAGGGAAACCCTCTATTGCAAAGTGAGTTTTAGTCCAATACTCATCCCCACCTTTTTTTCTTAGGTTTCGATATTTCCTTTTTTTCTGTCAAACTCTTCTACTCTTAAATCGATTCATTATCTTATAAGTGTTGTTCAATTGAGTATGCTACGTATCATCTTACGTTCCAGCAACCGCCTTATAAATATGCATAAAATCGAACATCTTACAAAATCTCAAACTTCACCTCATCTAAACATAACCACTAACGGTTAATTCGATAGGTGGAGACCTCAAATTAGTACAACATGAATTTGCAAATACAAGTTTTGAGAACCTAGTAGACAAAGTCTTACCCCATTTGCATTAGTAGTATACAAATGGATCGACCGATTTGAACTACTAATCTCAAACTAAACAGGAAATCAAACAAACATACACTTCGAAACATTATGAAATTTCAGACCACACATCATCATTTCCTGCACACAATTCCATTCCCACTTCCAAACCGCCCGCTGCAATCAATCACCTCGTTCTCCCCCACCATCACCAAATCACCGCCACTTCCGGCCGCCGCCGGATCGAACAAGCATGCCCCACAATCCGCCGCCAGGAGCGACGACGTCCGGTACACATCCTCCCCGCCGACCACCGGCATCGCCACCCCGGGCTTCGCCGCCGGGTTCCTGAAATCCGGCCGGTAAGTCTTCCCCAGCACGCCCTCCACCTTCTCCGACATCCCGCGGGAGAACTTGAACTGAACCTCCAAATGGGCGAAGCAGTCGTCGGCGGGGACCTTGTACCCGTGGACCCGGTCGTCCTCCGCCGTCACCGGAACCACGTTCACCGTCACCTCGCCCACCTCCGGGATCGTGACCACCACGCTGTTCCGGTCGGACGTCCGCTGCAGCGTGATGACGTCGTCGGGTGACTGCCACGTGGACAGGTGGCCGGCCGGGACGGCGAGTTCGGCGCCGTTGTAGGTGAACCTGAGGTGGTCGACGTCGTCGCTCCACGTGGCGGATTTGGTGGCCTCGAGGGAGAAAGTAGTAGTGGGGGTGGAGCCCAGGACGAAGCCCAGGGCCTGGATCCAGGTGAAGTCCCTGGGCCGGCCCACGGGCCTGTGGCCCGTGAAGCGGGCGTTGATCTGGAAGGTGGGGTCGGAGACGAGGGCGAAATTCTCGTTGGTCTTGCCGTGGAAGTAGAAGACGATCCCGTCCCCGCCGATGAACCGCGGGTCCAGGCAGGCTGCTCCCGGAGAGTTACAGTTCGGTTTGCGATCTGCAGTAACAGCGAGTAACTGAAGCTTTAGCCATTGATGGAGAATGCAATGCATATGTATTTTAGACTTAAAACAGAGCTTATTTCGTTGTGCCGCGGTTTGGTAAGCGGTATGGTCTGACTGATGTTATAATTGGATTATGCTAGTTCGTTTCGATTCAGTTACATGCAGGAAAGCGGGATATCATACACGTACTAAATGAATTTAGTCATAGACAATCTCTCTAAAAATCTATAATCTATATCGAAATAAAATACAACATTCTATACAAAAGAAAAAAAATCCTCATATTTAAATATCAAAATTAACGCCAATATCCAAAATTTTATACCTGACAAATAACATAAAACATCTAAATATTCATACTTAAATTCAACAAATAAGCATCAACATACAAATTCGTAAAACAAATCGAAATACATTTTTCCCCCTTCTTCTTAATTAAATTCGTCAAAATGACGTCCTTTCTGTTTAGAGTTTGGAAATCAGCCATGTCAATCATACTATAGATATTACAACAATTTTACAGACAATATCGATTGTATCTGATTGTATCGACCGACATGCCACCAATTCGTCAACCATGACATATATATGCCTCAAAATTAAATCTTGTTATAGTAAGGAAGTAACTTCTCAATAAGGATAGAGAGGGCACTTACTTTTGCAAGAAGGCTTGCAGACTGGAGAGTAGCAGTCGAGGTAGCAAGCTTTGGACTTAGGGTCGGAAGGGTAGAGTTCAGGGCATTCATAGGGGCATTCCAGTTGCTGCAGCTTGCATGGCCCGTAACTGCACGTCGCGTAGCTGCCGTAGGCTTGAGTTGCGCTGCCAACAAACATGATCACTAGCAGCACCGCCGCCGCCGCCGCCGCCATCAACTTACTGCCAACGACCTCCATACTGTGATCACTTTTTGTTGGCTGGCTTCCTAGATATGTTAGTATTACTCAGCTCAATAAGGATATGAATTCATTCCATAGCTCTGTCTTAACGCCCCCTTTTATAGATTTCTAGCAGTAGCCAATGGTTTGAGTTGAGCTGAGATGAGATGAGATGCATTATTTGGTTGTAGCATGTTCCCTCGTGGAGTACTTATTATGAACTAAGTTGTCAGTTTCCCCGTGGGAGGTGGGAATCTTGATTAATCAGTAGTTAGTGTAGTGTTAGTGATCAGATGATCCACTTGCATTTGTTTTCATTCCAACAATGGAATTGATTGATTGATTGATCAGAGCGATTTTCAACTCCCTTAGCTTTTGCCTTTTGCGGGATAGGATGACAATTTTGACCCGACTCGATTTAACCCGACCTGTCTGGCCTGTTTTGGAGCGGGTCAAACCCGCCCCGTAGGCGGGCGGGGCGGGCATGGGTACATCTCATCGACCCGACCTGTCCTGACCCGCCCCATTCTCAACCCGTTTAATTTTTCCCCTAAATTACATATAATTTTAGTCAAATTAATTAGGATTTTCTTCTTATTACATTATATTTTAGCTATAATAAAGTTGCAATTAAGTGAAAACCTCAATTTCTTGAATAATTTAACTAGATTTTATCATATTATGGTTTCTTTCTTGGTCTTTTAATGAAAATAACAAATATTTCTAATGTTTTTCACATAAATTACATACTCATTGGGTCGACCTGTCCCGACCCGCGCTCCGTAATAAATTACCCGACCTGCCATGAGACAGATATGGATATCGAGATACCCGCCCCGAACCTGCCCATTGCCATTCCTATTGCTGGGAGAGATTGAGGGGGAAACGTGGGGTTGGAGATTCCTTTGACGAGTCCTTGAAAGTGTTTTTCTAATTTGAAGTCAGCGCTATGTTCTGCAGGTAAACAGGCAATTCAATGAACTGCATGCATGCCGGGTGGAGGGAGGGACTGCAACTCGTCAGTGGCCGGCCGGCAAGCGACTGTAGGGGCGGATTGGCGGTGTTTATTGTAACTTGCCCACGTGGTACGTGTGGAGTTATGGTGTTTTTTTTTTTGGGGGGAGATTTATTTAGAAGGCGCGTTTGTCTTTGTAACTTGATGTTTTTTGTGCTAATTAATTGTACTAGTTTTTTAACCCGCGCTTTGCGGCGGTAAGATTTACGTATACTGATATACACTTGTTTAATTGATATATAAAAAATAATTATCACATCAGGCAAGAAGAGAGCACATTTGATTAAACTATTATGTAGAAGTTAACTTAAACCTTTGTGTAGTGCATAATGGATTATATGATGAATATTGTAGTTAATATAATTAAAGTTTGTTTGATTGTTACATAAGAAATAACTATTATTCCATAAGTTTGACGTAATGTATATGTAATTTCATAACTTTTACATATCGGTGTTAGATAAATTATATGTAATGTATGGTCTAATAATAAAATCAAATTATGAAAATGGTCACATTTGATTAAACAATTATGTACAATTTAACTTATCTTATGAAATCTTTACCTAATGTAAATTGATATTGTGAATATTTTATTTAATGTAGTTACAGTTGTTTTGAACTTACCTTACGAAACTTTGTGTAATACAAATTGATGGAGGATAATAATAAGGAATTAAGTTATGAACTTTATTTACAGAATCAAGTTAATAATAAAGGAATTCATGAAATTGAAGATGCAACAATTAAATCAAATATATTTAGTAGTTACATCATGGAATAGAGTTTGGGAAGATAATACACTCAATTTCTCATTTGTTTGTGCATACAGCCAACCATATGTTATAACTCAGCCGAAGTTTTCATCAAGACATTTTTTATTATTCAGGAACCTCAATCCCACGTGTCAGTTTCTAGCAGCAATGTCTACTAAACCTGGAGAGTACCTGAGTTTGTTATCTAAACATGAGTTTGTACTAATTTAGCCTCTATTCATTTAAGAAGACGAAACAAACTTTTCTCAAATTGGAATAATCACATACTAAATTTTATTGTAAAGTTTGTCTTATGTATTTGAATGAAATTGTTCACCATTATAAAAAAAAAAAGAGAAATACAGCAACAAAAAGCAATATATAATAATAGAAAATCATTATATTTGGTGAGTTAGAAGTTGCATAAATTTGTCATATGTGCTTAAATCATGCATCATCATTAGGAGTTATTGGAATTTGAGAACATGACCTTTGCCCTTTGGCCATGAAAATTAGAATATAAAGTTCCAATTGTTCAATAAATAAGGTTATTTGGATAATTACAAATCTAACGTTTAATTTCGTATTTGACAAATTGATGTTAATATAAATGCTTGCAAATATAATTGAAGAACTTCATACACATTTAAATATTTAATTGATAATTAACAAATGAGAGAGAGAGGAGGCTTGATAGATTGGGAAATGGGAATGATGTATCGTGATCAGTTGTGGGGGTTTGCATAGAATATATATAGGGATGGGAGAGGGAGAGAGAGGTTGATTGATGGGTCTTGACTGTAGTGTAGATAGGAAAGGAAGTAATTGGGTAAAAACTAAAAAGTAACGAAAAAGGGGAAGGGATACGCAAAAAGTAAAAAAAAAAAGGTAGCAGGCGAGTTGTCGCCGTTTCTTTATGGGCTCAAATCAACGGTCATACTTGCCTAGCCTAATATGGTGAACTCAGGTTCACATAAAAACGCCCACATATGATTATAAAATCCCATAGTGAACAGTAAGTTCCGATTTTTTCTTAAGGAACAGTAATCTCGATTTTATGGTAATTTTTAAGGATTTGTGTTTTAATAATTCTAATAATGTTATTATATGTGATATATTTATACGAATATTGTTTGTTGGATGTATTTGTGTTGGACAATTGGTAAGAAAAAGTGGTAGTAAAAAAAAAAAAAATACAATGGGACTTTGTTAAAGTACATTATTTTCTTGGTTTTGTGTTATGTGACCTTTTTTTTTAACATACTCTATGCATTCGTTATATAATTACATGATTTATATTATGCACTCGTTTCATGAATTTGCGCAAAAATCATTCAAAATTTATACTTTGATTTGAAGGATGTGATGTTTAGGAATTTGCGATTTACAATTTGCGCTTTAGCATTAGGATTCAAAATTTAAGATTTCAGAGTTTGGGTTTTCCTTAGCTAAAACAGGTTAAAAAAGCGTCAACCAAGATAATATATTTGCTAAATTGCATAAGCAATTTTCACCCTCTCAATTGCGATAATCAAACAACTTTCATATTTTCTATCTGGCTTCTCTCCCTCTACATGAAGGGGTGATTGATTTAACGAGCAAGTGATAGGAATTATATATTTTTTTTCATTCGATTCCTCAAGAACGAGAAAGGAAAAAAGATACATAATCTGAAGAGGACCCATGAAGAATCCTAAGTACAACATAACCATGAAACGAAGTCAAATCCCTTAAACAATCGGAACGACAAGAACAAGACATGACGAGCCATAGAATGAGCTTTCCTGTTATCAGAACGACCAATGAAACGCAGTGAATAATCTGTTAAACTCATCTAATAACAAGTAACAGATTTCCTTGAGCAGTGAGCCAACTTTGAAATCAGTAGGTTGCCGAGCATTGCATTTATCTATTATTGTCATCGCATCACCCGCAATGCAGATAGATTGCAGGTTCCTGGTCCGTCACGAATCCATGCACTTGGGCTGGGCCTAGTAGGATTCGGCCCATATAACAACGATTGATTGTCCCCAGATTAAAGTCCAGCCCATCAAAATTTCATGGGCCTATTGGAACTTGTAATCTCTGCACAAGACTGCCACCGGCACGCTGTCCAAACAGAAATATGGCAAAACAAGGCAACCCGGACGTCAACCCAACCCACCACCTTTCATGTGCTGGTGATTCCATCTATGTCGCCTTCATGAATCTTCCTCCTCCGAATCAGTTCCACCCCTAACGTAATTCTTCGGTAAACGCAGTGGCGGATGGGGATGGCAACCCCACGCCACGACCCAGCCTTACTCTGAATCCGAAGCTATTATAACCATTATAAGTTTATCGATTTTAGTCATTCGGTCCAGTGTTATTTTATAATATAATTGTATTTAACTAGGAAAATGAGTCATATGAACATATTCAAATCGCAACTCTAAATTTAGCCTAGAAATTCTAGCTCCAATGATTCTCGTCTAAAGAAAAACAAACAATGAAACCGAAATAGGGATAGACACACAATACAAATTTTGATCAGCCGATTGATTTGTCTAATGTTGACATTGGCAATTTCGACAAATACTATGGAGGGAACCTTTTCAATAATGAAAAAGGTGAAAAAAAGATTTGTGCAACCAAATGATCGGTGAATTTCTCACAGATTGGTTAACTATTTTATTTGAAAGAGAGTAATATGCTCTTGGTATGGGAGGAATTTTACAATGCTATATAACATTGGTGCTAAAAGTTTTTGTTTTTATGGTACAACTTGAAGTTGTAGTCTTTAACGTTATGGCACAATTTCATATTGTACATATGCTCTTCAAGTTGTACCATAACATAAATGTACAATTCCTTTATGGTACAACCTAAACTTATACATTTAACGTAATGGCACAACTTTACATTGTACATTAAAGCACCAATACTTTATAGCATCGTAAAAGTGCTCTTGGTATGGATGTATAATCCATTATTGATGATTCACTATATTAAAACTTAAAAGATCGACGTGTACAATTTATATTGTAAAAAAATATGAATTTTTTTACAGTATCTAATTTCTAATGATATGCGGCCCAGTGCTCTACTAGTTCCTGGATCCGCCGCTGGATAAACGGTAAATAAATAATCTGTCTTCGAGCACTAGCAATCTTCTCCATAAATACTAGTCCAGCTCGTTGGCTTACCTTCAAAGTTCAAACAAACAAACAGCGACAAATTTAATTTCCTCCTCTCTTTGATAGCGATTT